CCATAAACTACTGTTTATGGGTCAGGCTTTAACTGTTTGAAAGCAAAGTGTTTGGTTTGAATACTATCTGGATTATGAAACCATTTTTGTGGGGAAAAGTAATTTACTTTATTAAAAATCTTCTTTATTTTGTGGTTTCCAGAAATGTCTTGTTGTGAATGGGGAGGGGGCGATCAGCAGAGGGACACTATTCAAATGAGGTAAATGTCATATTTTACTCTCTGTGATCCACATACACAGATTCTAGATTCTTACTAACTAAAGGCCTGATGCACGAAATTAGTGCAAGGGTCTTGGCTCCGGCCCCTGGCCCCCGCCCACTGCGGCTTTGTCCAGAAGGAAGGACCCCGGAAGGATGTCCGGTCTAATTAGCGTATTATGCTTTTATTATAGATGCTGTCTTTGGACTTCAAGAAACCAAATCTCATTCTCAGTGACAAGACATTATGAGACAGTTCTGATAGGAATAATGCAGAAATATAAGCCACACCCACTACAGGCTGAGTTCTCTGCTGTGTGGAGTGATTTTAAAGAAACTTTCATTGTAGAATAACCCAGACTGCCCTGAGCCATGCCAATGATTGGCAGTCAGTCTCTCACATCCCACGTGCCTGAGAGCCAGTGAAGTTGGCTTATTCTTCCCCGTTTGTCACAAACAGGACATGTGGCTGGGTCCTAGGATAGCCGGATCCTCTTCCCCATGGCTTACCCCTTCCTGAGAGCTCCCAGGGACGGCAAATGCAGCCCAGTGTCCTTGTTTCCTGTAGCCACGCTCTACGAAGTCACCATCACCCTGCATGATCGGCCCTGGGGCACCGCTTCCTGGAGGGGAGGACAAGGCTGGGCCCTCGGAGTCTCCAGTCACAGATTTCCGTCAACAGATCAGTGCAGACCTGGTTTACACGGGTTTCTCCACAAAGGCCCGTTACTGATCATATGTTGTTGATTCATGAACACTGACCTCAAGGCAACGGCGCTGTAACTCACGTCTGAACTCAGCTCACCTAACACAGTTTCTCCACTAGGTACTGCACAGCCCTGGGCACGCAGGCACTGGTCAGCGCTTCAGCATGAGGCTTGAGGACCAAACTGCAACATCACCAACCCTGAGCACCGAACTCCCAACAACGGGGCCCTGGCCGGACTGTGAGGAGGACATGGGAGAGCTGAGACACGAAGGCAGGGTGTCATCTTGTCCAACCTCATGTGCCTGTCGGACAACTCACATTGTCTGCCACTCTGCGAGTGTCTGCAAACGACCACGACAGCACCAACAACTGACCTGTGGGTTACAAATACGTTTCAGTGAGCAGGTGAATGTGCAAATATGGACTCAGTGAATACTGAGGGGTGGCTACATTTCAAACTCCTCTGAATGTAAAATTCTCTGTAATCTGCCCCTCACTCTGCACTCGCAAAGCCAGCTCCACCCCTCTCCCCCCGTCAGCACTGGCCAGGACAAGTACCTGCAGTTTCCCAAGCACACATCTTCCTTTCCTCTTTAAGGGTCCCTTGAACCCTATGCTTTCTCACTATCCTCCTGGGGCCACTGACAGCGCCCACAGTCCCCCATCACTGTTTGTCTCAGAGTCACCAGGCACTGGGCAATGTTCCAATAATAAGATGAATAGTAACCGTCACATTATCATCATCTGAACTCAGTCTGTTTCCTAGGCGCCAGGCACTGTGCTGTATGATTGACAAGGTTCTACTCATTTAATCCACACAACAAACCTACTGATAAAGATAACCTTTATGCCCATTTTAGAGATGAAGAAACCGAGAAATGAAAATGTCAAGTAACTTGCCCAGGTCACTCAGCCTGGGAGTGGGAGAGCCAGGAATCAACCCTGGGCAACCTGAGTCCAGGGCCCGAGCTTCATCCTGATGGCACCCACAGTCACGGTGATGGCTGAACTCTAGTAGCATTTGGACAAGATGCTTCCTTCTGTGGTCTGGGACCAGGGGCCAGGGTGGAGACAGAGGAAGCGATGTACAAGTACGCATCTCACCTCATTCCCTGCCATCCGTTTTGCAGGAAAAACATAGTGAGTGACAGCAAGCACTGCATCTGTAAGGATGTATAATTATACCTGCGTAATGATGAGTAGTTATCTCCTGTCACTCAAAAAGGTAGAAAAACGCTTTAAAAATCTGAATGTACATCTGCATTAATCCTCCCTAATTTTTTTCCTGGTGCTTTGAAATCTTGGGTTCCAAGGGTCAGCTCACTCCTTGGAGAAAGGAAGCTGCAGGAGAAAAGTGTGAAGCTGGCAGAGGTTGGTTCATGAGATTTCAGGGGGAAAGCCGGAAAGACAGAATTAAAATCTAGGCCCACTCGACTCCCCACGCTTGTCACTTAACATTTCCAAAGATTATCCCAACCTCAGATGCTGCTGGCGGGGCTGGCAGTGGGGAGCTCAGTGAGGAGTTAGCAGGCCAGGCCCTTCCTGAGGTGAGAGCACAGAGCTCTGCCCAGGGAGCGTTTGTGCCAGGACGCTGAGCCCAACAGCTCCCAGCGCTTCTGCAGGGCGGCCTCCAGGTGGCGCCATCAGCCCGCGGTTCCCTCCACTGAGGCTTGTCTATTTCTGGTTGGCCCACTTGTTCAACAGCACAAACCTCTGTGGGTCAGAGCCACTGGAATTAGAAACCATTGCTAACTAATCTTTCCAACTTCTCAACTCGCTCACGGGAGAGACTAAACAATGAAACTGAAAGAAAGGCCAAGGAAGAATAAGGGAAACCAACACTCTCTTGGTTATTCTCTGCCCAAGGTCTTTGCTTTTTCTAAAATCACTTTTCAAGCTTTGAGAGAGGAGGCCTCAGACGTAGTGACGGTCTTAGAAGTACATCAAATGAACTTCCAGTTTTAAGAATACGCATTGTTTTTCATAAAGTACGTACGAAACAGAACACGGGGAACGCTGAGAATAAGACCGAGAAACAGGGACTGTGGGGAAAGAGCTGCCCCACGGAACTCGGTGACTTCACACAGGGCCAGGTGTGATGATGAGGAGGGGCTTCCAACCTCACCCCCGTTCTGAACACCCTGAGGGACCTGAAATAATCCCAGGCCCTGAGACAGCCCGAGTCCCACCCAGTTTGTCCCTCCTTCTCTGTCCCTCACACACGGGCAGAGGAGAAACGACATTGAACATTCTGGGATCCAGCTGCCCCCCGCAAAAGCCACCAGGACTGGGGTAGAGACACAAGAAGATCTGGGGTTAGGAAGCAGTCGGCGTAAAGAGCTGGAATTTTGCATTTTTCCATGTGGTTTAAACGCACTGGAAATCCAGGGTGTAGCTGAAGGAGGCATGTGAAATGGCCTAACTCAGGTGCACCTCCCACCAGGACATGTGGACTGACTCAGGCAATGGAATGCACGTGCCTGGCCGTGATCGGAGTTAAGGGTGAGAAGGATGGGGTGAGTTTGCAAAGCTTCCCGGGTGATTGGACACACCTTGCTCCACACACAAAGGTGCAACTTGGAAGGAACTGGGGGTGAGGTCGAATGTGAGCCCCACCCACATTCCCTTGGCTAAATCCCTGGAAAACAGGCTCTGCCAACAAGCAGGTAGGTGTGAGCAGGGCCAGGGCCACCCACACACCTGAGCACCCACACACTCAGCACAGGAAGCTCTCACCGGCCCACCAGTCAGAAGCTGGTTGCTAAACGCTAAGACAAAAACGTAACGGATTCATCCAGAAGTTCAAATGCAATGTCATCACTGAGAGAGGACATGGAGAACAGAAATGATGGAACACTCCTGCCAAGCCTGCTGCAGAGGTGAAGGCAACATTTGACAACTATTCCGATGAGACAAGATGTGCTCAGACTGCCACTATGAAAACAGTAACTCAGACTGTTAGATGTGTTTTTAAGTTTAACAGACATCATCGGAGAGTTTCAAAAACATCGTCACGCTGAGCCACTGCTGGTTAAGGTGGAAAGTACCCAAAGCAACTGGGTAACATCGGAAGCCTTATAACTACGTTCCGTATAAACGACAGCCCCACCCACTTACCCTGATCGTACGCTCGTGGACGTGCAGAAAAGGGCAGCAACAATGTTCATTATAGACTTGATCGCAATTTCAAAGCATTGAAACACAGACAAAGGGCTTGGCTAAGAAACTGTAATACATCCAACTAATGAAAAACTGCTCCGTAATGAAAACCAGCACCTGTGAACTGATATGAAAAGCAAAGAATGTTCCCACGAAAGACGAGGTTTCCCAGACAATGCATAAAGCAGGACGTCAATGTGTATAACATCAGTGTGTGTGTGTGTGTGTGTGTGTTCAAGGAAGCAGCACTTGCAATTATCAAATAATGTCTGATGATTGATAATCACTAGAGCCCAAACCTCATTTTTTGTCATTTATGACGGAGGGCAAAATGGAAACCCAACTTCACACCTGCAGAATGTGAGCTCAACCAGCTCAAGGCCACACTCGGTTCAAGCTGTGTTCTGATTTGCAGATTGGAAAAGAGAAAAATCTCAGAGACGTATAAGCATTCACAGCAAGACAAAACTTTTAGGAAATTATCTGTTACATCCATTTCCTTGTGCTTGAATTTCAGGCGATTTCAGTCTGATTCTGATAAGAAATGATGTGTGTGAGTAACCCAATCTCTAACCCAGGGATTCCATTCCCCGGTTGCCACCCACCCCACTTCATTCCAGATAGAGCCCTAAGCACCTCATGAAGCTTGAATGAGGTCGCGAGGCCTCCGGGCTCACCGCGCGTGGCTACACTTAATCAGGGCTGGATAAACAAGCTCAGTATGAGTCACACTTGTGCAAGTTACTCCACGTCGCTGCGGCCAGCAGAGATTTGCACATGATCCTGTTTAAACCAGCAAAACATCTGGAAAATGTGAAAATGATTCTAAGGCGCAAGCGGACCACACGCTCGGAGGGACGCCGCGGAGCTGAGGCCAGCCCACGGCGGGAGGACAG